GTTCCAACCAAGCAAAATTGATTTGTTTAACCCAAACTAAAGAATAATAATGTGCATTTGATCAGATATAACTGATTATGAGATATATGAGATACTTTATGTGAATGCTTGGCTGAAGAGATGTGTCTTTAATCTAGATTTAAACGTGTCTGAACTATTCCAGAGTTTGGGAGCCAAATGCGAAAAAGCTCTACCTCCTTTAGTGGACTTTGCTATCCTTTGATATTTTAAGATGTCATTTATTCCTTTGAGGGTAAAGCTTGATTTTCATGAGCCATTATGCCAAAATTCAGTGTCTGAAGTATGTGGGAAATTGTTAAATATAATGTATATTCATAAAATATACAGTTGTGCTCATAAGTTTACATACCCCTTGCAGGATGTGCAAAATGTTAATAATTGAAACAACATTGCATTTTTAGGTTTATATAACAAAAGTTTACACCCCCTGCTCTTAATGCATTGTGTTGCCTTCTTGAGCATCTGTAAATAACATGCAATTTTCATGATCCCTCTTATTTTGTTTCAATTTTTAACATTTTGCACATTCTGCAAGGGGTATGTAAACTTATGAGCACAACTGTAGTAAAATACTACATATAAAAAGAGGCCTGCCTGAAAAAATTAAGTTCGCATAATATAAGAATTTAGCTCATTTTTCTTTTCGTTGGCAAATTGTTTATTCTTGTTTTAAGCACAAATCTAATAAAACATAATGAAAAAGAAGAAGAAAAATATACTTAAATCAATATTTAAAAATGTCTGGGTTCAATACACGAGGAATCTTAAATGAATCATAGACTTTAAATATAAAAGACGCTTCTCAAACATCTCAATGTTTTTATTTGTTGTCATTATTTTTTTTGGCACTTCATGGACGGAAACCAAAAGATTGCACGTAACAATCTTGGCAACAGTGCAAAAGCATGTTCACATTATGTACAACACTTAAAGTAAATCAAAAGACTGAAAACATCCAATCCAAGAACACAATGAAGTCCATAATATTTAATACTCATCCACTTGAACGTACGCAGTTTGAGATTTTTGCTCATGGACGCAGAGTTTTGTAGTCCGATAGTTTGAGCCAATCAGCTGAGCTGTAAACACCATGTGACTAACGGCTCTGTGGTAAATTATTGACGTCATGACAACATTGACTGGCTGATGATATCAGAAGAATGTCATCAGTCTATTTCACAAACATTCACAAGAGCCTTCAAAAACAAAGCAAGCTATAATGTCTGTTTAAATATTGCTTAAATATATCATTTAAATATTGCTTTCAGAAAACTGTAGTTCGTCAGAGTCCACAGCTCATTTTGAAAAGTCATCAATAGAGAAAGGTGCATTTCACAGTCATGACACAGAATGTCCAAACAGCATTAAAGAACCAAGCAATAACGCTGGATAAAACAAGTACGAACCGACCAGATATTCGATACACACCTTAAGAAAACTCAAAAACATCTCTAAAGTCAGAACAACTGAACCAATACACACACAAGCACATGAAAAAATCACTGAAGGAAGAAGTAACTTAATTACAGTGTTCTGCATGTTGGGATCTAAATTGTTAGATGCAATTACAATCATGATTATAATCAAAATTATTGTGAGTGTCACTCCAAACAGTGCATTGAGCACAATCACACACAACATTGTGAGTTCTGCACCTACTGCACAAAACAGAAATAACAGGAATAATTCTCGGACATCCCGTTTTTTTAACTCAAATGATAAACCTAAAAATGCAAAAGCACCGTTTGTGACTCCAAATGCAGCACAGCATGCTACAAAAACATCAGACAAAGTCCTTACACTAGCGATTGATCCAAGAGTCACTCCTAAACCTACTGTAAATAAAAACTCTGTTTTGATTTTTCTATTGTTACTTGACTTGCGCATTGGTAGATACTTTATAAAGGCAGCCGCAACTGTGGAGCACAGAGCCAAATTTAGTGCGAAAGCAACATGTGGACTCAAAGCATTTCTTAAAGATGCCATAAATGTCACGAGTCCAGCTAAAGTTGCCTCAAAAATTAACATTGTGTGCTTTTGTTCAGTAGCCAAAACAACCGCAATCAGTGAAATGATCAGACTCCATCCGACCACTCCTAAACTGTCACGCATTGCATATGAGACCTGACTTTCTCCAAGTTTGCCATCTATTTCTTTTAGCCTTTGTAAAAGCTCCAGCCTTTCGGCTTCTAACTGTTGAGTTTGATTCAGTGCTGTGTAAAATTTGTCACTATTGAGCCAAACTAACTTGTGTATTTCCGCTATGAGAGCTGCTCTTTGAGCAGGTTTTGCTTCAGAGTCTCTTATGACCTGATTCCTACAACCAGGATCCTCACTTCATCTTCATGAGAAGCTGGAAGAGAAAGTTAAAGATGAAAATATCAGAAAATATTATTTGAATTAAAAGTGAATGATGTGCTAACTTTACAATGTTTGTATGACAAAATTGTTTATGTAAACCATTTTATGTTTAACACTCTGGTGCATGTTCATTTATTACAATGTTTGATTATTTAGTTATTTTTGGTGGTTAAATAGGCAGATTTGCTTACCTACAAACTGCCATTGACTTTACATTACAACCATGAATGCACTGTGTCCAGTACAGTGGACACATTTATTTTCAGTTATGGAAGGTAGACTACACATATGATAATTAAAAAGGATCATGTACAAGATGTTGTTTTAAGTAAAAGGAGAACAGATACACCTTTACATTACATTATACATTACCTTCAACCTTTATAGATGTGATGTGAAGTGCAAGAATCAGTGTGAGGATCCATTTTGGTGGTTTCCTGTTTAGTTTCATTTTTCAGCCTGGGAAATAAAGCCACTCTTACTCGCTTTCCAAAATCGGTGAATTTAATGTGTAATCGTACAGCATAACCCAATCGTTAGCATCGTTATTTCTTACAGTACGATCTTTCAGTTAACAACACGACAGTGCAGCTGAATCCTAACTTGGTTTGTAAAGTGAAACTTTCACTTTTGTTTCCGCTTGCGTGCTTCTATAATTAGCAGAGTGTCGTATTCCCATTTAAAATGAGTAATTATGTAATGTACACACAAGGCAGAACAACTTCAGCAAGCTGGCTTTTAAACCAACTCTTTTCAATGAGTTCAGTATCACCCCAGGCTGTGAAACTGAAGGCACGGACGAGACGGAAAAGTTTGACGCTACTCAAAAACCAATCAGAACGTTAATTTCAGCCGCGCGGCGTATTTCTCAACCAATCGGGTTTCCCGTTTTAGCTCAGGGGGCGGGACATAAGTGTGCCTTCTGAACGCGCCTAAGAAAAATACTGCTTTTCCCACAGTAAGATGTTAGGGAAATATCGGTGTTTGACGATAGATATAATAGTATACTTACCGAAAAACACTGTATACGACAACTTTTTAGCAATCGTGTGGTGTGTAGCTTTTTTCCCCCCAAAGGTTATTTATAAGCAGCGTGATACTCTTTTGAATCAGTTATTTTTGAATAGAAAAACGGTTTGATTCGGTTCGCGATTCATTTTGAATCATTCGGATAGTTCACTCACGGACTGAATCATTTCTAGCATATTCTTACAAGGTGAATTAATGCGATACTGTAGAACACAAATAACGCTGGATGAAGTGGAGTATTTACAATCCAAACCAGAGATGAACAGTGTTGGGGAAAGTTACTTTTAAAAGTAATGCATTACAATATTGCGTTACTCCATAAAAAAGTAACTAAGCACGTTACTTTGTATGGAAAGTAATGCGTTACGTTACTTTTGCGTTACTTTTAAAATCTGGACAGGGCTTGCTTGTTTGTTTTTAAAATAAAAAAAGTTATATTTTTGGCAAATATAAAAGCCTATTCACACGAAAAGTGAAATGAATAAGCCTCAGGCTGAAGGGAAAGTACATTTACGTCCG